GATAATGATTCCCTATGACTTTGCCATGATCACGGGCTTAGGCATGGGAGGTGATCCGATCCCTCTCGACCCTGACATGGGGGAGTGGGAGGCTGCATGGATGGCACTGCTCGGAGCACGCCCTCCAATACTTCGGGCAGGCATGGTTACAGTTGGTTCGACGAGCGGTTCAGAGGAGAGGAGCCCGAGACAGCTAATGAGGCAGAGCAGTATGCGCGGGGCTTCCTCATGTTTCTCTTCGGTACCACCTTGTTTTCGAACAGGTGGAATATCGTAGGTTTGTACTTTCTGAGCGTATTGGTTGTACTCTAGAGGGTCCAGTTCTATGATTGGGGCGGAGCCGGCTTCACCACTTTGTATGGATACATGAGCTCGACCTCTCGGATTAGTGGGACCTTGATCGGCGGCTACTGGTAGGCCTGGGAGGTACACAACTTAGTTCCCCCTTTTCACTTTACATTTTCTGCTTATCATTTCTTGCTTTACATTCTCTGTATCTGCATGCTTTCTGCTTTGCATTCGAACTTTCTGCTCTGCATTTTCTGTGTTTGCTCATACACTGTACTTAATCACATTTTCTTTGCAGTTGTGGGTGTACGCATACTTCCCAGCTCTTGCTCCAGAGCATGTAGAGGAGACCCTGGTGATAGTCCCGTTCTCTCGGGTATACGACGACCAGCTCTCTCTTAGGACCCAGGAGAACTTCATGTTCTTCCGACAGTACTTCGACACGGTTGCGGTGCACGAGGTAACCCAAAACAAAGCCATATCACTTTTCAATCAATCTTGATACATCCACCTTAGCCAATTGATGCCGACTAATCATCTGTTCATGCTCTTGTTTTCAGATCACATGGCAGTCGTGGGATGTGATACCCTCGGGACTCAGATTCCGGTGTGAGACAGCTAGGGTCGTTGCCCGCTACCATATTCCCCTCGAGGGCCCGTTCTTCCGGGCTTGGTTCTTGAGTGAGCATTTCACACGCCAGACTCTAGGATTGCCTGTTCCGTTCGTACCGGCGGCACCTCCAGTATAGATAAGGGAGACGCATAGACTGTCTGTTGACATGGTGATCCAGTTTATGGTAGGGTTGGAGACGGAGTACTTCCGTGCAGAGGGCGACTACGTGACCTTTATCCAAACTCATTTGATGCCGCCTCTGAACGACGTTCGCGGTGGTGAGGGAGCGAGAGCTCCAGTTGCACGAGAGAGAGGCAGAGGAGCTAGAGCGACCAAGTCTCGTAGGAGGAGAGAGTTTGGGAATAGGAAGAGACAGGGGCTGGGATGGCCAGAGCTGCCTACCTCTGTGACTTATCGGAGACGTTCCGAGGAGACTTGCAAAATCCCCATTGAGCATGCACCAGCTGGTCATGCACTTGTCGGAGTTCGAGGCTTGACCCCGGTATGCACCAAACTTCACATTTTGCATATTTACTTCATTTCAATTATGCTTTATAGAATACTAATCCCTTCAATGCACTTGCAGGAAAGCATAGAGTACATAGGGTAGGCCCTTGAGCTAGTGGCTTCCTTGCAGAGATGGTACAGACGAGCTTGGATTTGCTTAGCCTCTACAGGATTTCGGTAATTTCTTCAACTTTGCACTTCATATCACACAGTTTGTTTGCTGACACATTACCACTTCAATTGTTCCATACTACACTGATCTGAGACATTGCACTAGAATACCGCATCAATACACTGTTCCCTTATACAGCCCACGACACATATACACTGCAATCATTTACTGTTCCCTGGATATTATCTTTGCATCTAGTATACACCACAACTCTAACATATATTAACAAACTGCCCTTTTCAGATTCCTTTTGAGATGCCAGCCCCATCAAGTGTCCCAGCAGGAGTAGCGGCAGGACCTTCAGTTCCTCCCCCAGTAGCAGAGAGGAGAAGGAGGCAGGCTCAGGCACGTAGCTGGGGTAGAGCTAGAGGTATCCACCGCGAGAGTGGCCTTTCGGAGCCCATTCTGGGTGATGATGACTACGAGATGAGCGAGGAGGCTGAGGCGGGAGCCACTATGTGGCCCCATAATTTTTGAAACACTGGCGGGAGTTTATTGGAGCGCAACGGGAATTTTTTTCAAATTGTAAATATGCCCGCCCAAAAAAAATAAAAGGTGGGATTCCAAGTATTATATTATGCAACCCCGGAGCCGACTCTAGTTACAAAGAATTTCTGGAAAAACATGAACACGCCGGGCTCCAAGCGTGGACGATCCAAAACGCAGAGTTCTACACAGTCGACCATCCCCTGTTTGCCAGAACCAATCAAGAAGAGGCATCGCAATCAGAAGAAGAAGTCCCAACGCAGGAAGATATTCCACTTCCAATGCGGCTGTTCGATATTCCATGTGAACGGATGTGTCAAACCACATCCACTGGAGAGAGAAGATGCTGTCAGGGGTCTTCTACGACACTTTGATGAACCCGATGTGGTTCAGAGCTGTACACATGTCCATGCCGGGGAATCAGGGGGTATACAAGATAGAATGCCTATTCAACTACAACCTTCGGAAAGCACTGGGAGTCCGGATGTTCACCGCCACAATGTATACATGGCTGACATATAGTGGTCTCAAAAGCCTATCGGAGAATGTATTTACCCGGCTTATTGCACGTAGGATGACGATGACATTATCTAACTTTGGAATTATTAGCCCTGTAAATTATTGTCTCGCACTGACCATTGTACTCGACGAGCTTTCGTATTATGTAAAAGATTGGCGGTGGAAAAATATTTATGTACATTTTAACGATTAAATAATAAAATGTTAAGATATATTTAATTAATGTGATTATTGTTTTGGATCATCAACAATAATATAAATGGGCCCAATTACAGTCTCCCAAATGAAGAGGCCCAATTACAGTCTTCCAAATGAAGAGGCGCATATAATGTGACAAGGCCCATAGTTAGCCAATGTTTTTTAATAGGCCCATCAAAACTATGAAAGAAGTGGACACTAAAATGGGCGTCCAAGTATTACAATATAATACACAACATGACAGAAATACAACACATTTGAACAAATTATTTATTTGGAATAGTAACAATTATACAATTATGATAATTAGGAAATTGTGTCACTATTCCTATGTGTGTCTGCACATCGCTCCATCGTCTGCATGGACGGAGCCATCGCCTGGGTTTCTAATTCGGAAACCGCTTTCAGACCGGTGAATAGAGCATTTTCTTGCTGCTGTAAGGCGTTGATAAGCCGGATTAAATTTTCGGCGTTGTTTTTGCCGATGACCAACAAGGACCAGTGCAGCGGTAAAAGATCCGGCTCGTATTTTAAAATCAACCGCCTAAATTGACCTAAATCTCCGAGATCCATTGCAAAATAATTCAAAATCCCCAATTATTTTCGCTTATATAATTTCTCGCTTGCGCTTGCCACCTTTTAAATTAAAATTCCCGCCTGCGCTTGCCTTTTTAGATCTTTTAATCCTGGTCGTGGATCTGGGAGCATAGCGGAGAAATGTCTCGACAACACAGCACCAAATGCGGAAGGGAGCACCAATCAGGGGACGACCAACCGGGGGGGGGGGGGGGGGGGGGAGCGTCCCAGTAATATTATAGGGACGCTCCTGGGATCATATATAAGTCACTCACTTACTCCCTTATACTAGTAAAGTTTTTAGAGAGTGACTTGCGTCATCCGAGGGAGTAAGTGGCGGGAATTTTAATTTAAACAGTGGGAAGCGCAAGCGGGAAATTATAAAAGTGAAAATAATTGGGGATTTTGAATTATTTTGCAATGGATCTCGGAGATCTAGGTCAATTTAGGCGGTTGATTTTAAAATACGAGCCAGATCTTTTACTGCTGGACTGGTACTTGTTGGTCATCGGCGAAAACAACGCCGAAAATTTAATCTAGCTCATCAATGCCTTACAGCGGCAAGAAGATGCTCTATTCGCCGGTCTGAAAGCGGTTTCCGAATTAGAAAACCAGGCGATGGCTCCATCCATGCAGACGATGGAGCGATGTGTAGACACACATAGGAATAGTGACACAATTTCCTAATTATCATAATTGTATAATTGTTACTATTCCAAATAAATAATTTGTTCAAATGTGTTGTATTTCTGTCATGTTGTGTATTATATTGTAATACTTGGACGCCCATTTTAGTGTCCACTTCTTTCATAGTTTTGATGGGCCTATTAAAAAACATTGGCTAACTATGGGCCTTGTCACATTATATGGGCCTCTTCATTTGGAAGACTGTAATTGGCCTATGAAAATCATTAGATATGTTATGGGCCTTGTCATGTTATATGGGCCGCTGGACCTCTGGGCCTCTTAATTTGCAGCAGTTTAATTGGGCCCATTTATGTTATTGTTTATGATCCAAAACAATAATCACATTAATTAAATATAACTTGACATTTTATCAATTAATCATGAAAATTTACATAAATATTTTCCCACTGCCAATCTTTTACATAATACGAAAGCTCGTCGAGTACAATGGTCAGTGCGAGACAATAATTTAGAGGGCTAATAATTGCAAAGCTGGATAATGTCTTCGTCATCCTGCGTGCAATAAGCCGGGTAAATACATTCTCTGATAGGCTTTTGAGACCACTGTATGTCAGCCATGTATACATTGTGGCGGTGAACGTCCGGACTCCCAGTGCTTTCTGAAGGTTGTAGTTGAACAGGCATTCTATCTTGTATACCCCCTGATTCCCCGGCATGGACATGTCTACGGCTCTGAACCACATCGGGTTCGTCAAAGTGTCGTAGAAGACCCCTGACAGCATCTTCTCTCTCCAGTGGATGTGGTTCGACACATCCGTTCGCATGGAATATCGAACAGCCGCATTGGAAGTGGAATATCTTCCTGCGTTGGGACTTCTTCTTCTGATTGCGATGCCTCTTCTTGATTGGTTCTGGCGAACAGGGGATGCTCGACTGTGTAGAACTCTGCGTTTCGGATCGTCCACGCTTGGAGCCCAGCGTGTTCATGTTTTTCTAGAAATGCTTTGTAACTAGAGTCGGCTCTGGGGTTGCATAATATAATACTAGGAATCCTGCCTTTATTTTTTTTGGGCGGGCATATTTACAATTTGAAAAAAATTCCTGTTGCGCTCCAATAAACTCCCGCCAGTGTTTCAAAAATTGTGGGGCCACATCGTCGATTATGTTGTAAAAAGCGTCATCATTGTGGTCCCTCAAATCGATGTGGCCAGAATAATAATTATGCGGCCTCAAAGACCAGGCCCAACATGTTTTCTCAATTCTAGATGAGCCTTCAATTTTAATCCTCTTGGGCCTGTGTGGTCTTTGGGCTTCGTCCCTTATATTTTCTGTAACCCATTGCTGTATGGCTGTTGGAACGATCCATACTGTATCTATAAATTGATGAACATACAGCAATGGTGGAGTAAATGAAATTTTGTCGTAATTGGATGACAACTTGTCGTAATTCAACCATAAACATTTTGGATGGCCATTTCTAACCAATGCCAACGCTTCTTCTTTGCTTCCGGCTGCAAGAGCCTCATGGTATATATTGTCGTTGTTTTCCTGATTAGCGCAGCGGCCCCTCTGACGGAAGTCACCCCATTCTGTGAAATCCCCGTATTTGGAAATGTATTCCAGCACAGCCTGATGATTGTTGGCGCCTTGTATATTTTGATGGAAATGGCGATTAGTGTGATCGTGAGTAACGTCGAAGAACCATTTATCCTGTGTCTGAAAACGATATGGAAATTGGACGAGCGCATGTAGATGTGGTTCACCGTCCTCGTGCAATTCATGCGCAACCCTCACATAATTTGGTGGCCTGTTAGTGAACAACTCTCTTATTTTCTCTAAAAACCTCTCTTTAGGTAAAGAACATCTGGGATATGTGAGGAAGATGTTCTTATTTTGAACTCTAAAGCGGCGTCGCATTGAGGCCATAAGTCACTCACTCACAATGACGTCACTTACTCTCTCGAATGATGCAAGTCACTCTCTAAAAACTTTACTAGTATAAGGGAGTAAGTGAGTGACTTATATATGATCCCAGGAGCATCCCTATAATATTACTGGGACGCTTCCCCCGTGCCACGTGTCGTCCTCTGATTGGTGCTCCCTTCCGCATTTGGTGCCGTGTTATCGGGACATGTCTCTGCTCCGCTCTGTACACCATAAAGGGCAACTACGCGACCTTTATCCAAACTCATTTGATGCAGCCTCTGATCGGCGTTCGCGGTGGTGAGGGAGCAAGAGCTCCAGTTGCACGAGAGAGAGGCAGAGGAGCTAGAGCGACCAGGTCTCGTAGGAGGAGAGATTTTGGGAATAGGCAGAGACAGGGGCTAGGATGGCCAGAGCTGCCTACCTCTGTGACTTATCGGAGACATTCTGAGGAGACTTGCAAAATCCCCATTGAGCCTACACCAACTAGTCATGCACTTGTCAGAGTTCGAGGCTCGATCCCGGTATGCACCAAACTTCACATTTTGCATATTTACTTCATTTCAATTATGCTTTATAGAATACTGATCCCTTCAATGCACTTGCAGGAAACCATAGAGTACATAGGGCAAGCCCTTGAGCTAGTGGCTTCCTTGGCAGAGATGGTACATACGGGCTTGGATTTGCTCAGCCTCTACAGAATTCCAGTAATTTCTTCAACTTTGCACTTTATATCACACAGTTTGTTTGCTGACACATTAGCACTTTAATTGTTCCATACTACACTGATCTGAGACATTGTACTAGAATACCGCATCGATACATTGTTCCCATATACAGCTCACAGCACATATACACTGCAATCATTTACTATTTCCTGCACATTATCTTTGTATCAAGTATACACCACAACTCTAACACATCTTAACAAACTGCCCTTTTCAGATTCTTTTCGAGATGCCAGCCCCATCAAGTGCCCTAGCAGGAGTTACGGCAGGACCTTCAGTTCCTCCCCCAGTAGCAGAGAGGAGAAGGAGGTAGGCTCAGGCGCGTAGCTGGGGTAGAGCTAGAGTCATCCACTGCGAGAGTGGCCCTTCGGAGCCCATTCTGGGTGATGATGACGACGAGATGAGCGAGGAGGCTGAGGCGGCGAGTCCAAAGTCTGAGTCATCTAATGGGGGAGACGACGACGCCGTTAGTGAGGCTGGAGAGACTGAGGAGGGTTCTAGTTCAGGCTCTGATCTGGCTTCGGACAGCGGTGCTGATGGCGACAGTGCTCTAGAGTTTGCTCCGCCGAGGAAGAGGGCGAAGAGGGCCTCCCCGAGTTTGAGATAGTTGGCACCGATTCAGATGTTCTTTTGCTTTGTTTTTTTTTTTTTGCTAGTAGTGTTAGGACATTGTACAACCTTTGGTAGTTTTATTTACTTTAAAACTTTGTACTCTTTTGCAAAAAGAAACCATGATCGGAATGAAAACTCAGTTTTGGTTTAAAAAGTGTTGCGTCTAAGCATTACATAACATCGCACAGCGTGAAAAACGAGATTGATCTTTGTTTGAAAACTGCACATGCAAATGCATTGCTCTAAATCAGGTAGTGAACCAACTAATAACTGAAAGAACAAAACAACTCGACAAACATCAAAAATACAACTCGATAAGCAAATCGTAACAACTTGATAAGCAAAGTGCAAACAAGTCGATAAGCAACTTGCAATAACTCGATAAATAACAGGCGCACAACTTACTAAACAAGGCTAGATGGTTACAACTCAAACAGACATGCTTAAGCCTGAAAAGAACCAAAACTAGACCCCAAAGGGTGCCAATAACAGAATAAAACTGCTGGAAACCCCTGAATCTTCACACAAGAGATCAGTGAGCCTGAAAGGGAGGATGTCGGCCATTACGTTCCTTTGCTGGCCATCAATGGGCCACTACCGGCCTTTGATGAGCCACTGTCGGCCATCTATGAGCCATTGTCAGGCATCGATGAGCTGCTCATCCAAAATGTTGACATCTGTCTTCCACTCAATGCCTTATCTTCTATAAAGGTTCCAGCTTCGTGGTTTCCTCATTTCAGCTCCATTTTTGCCCCAAATGGAACCATTCTTCACCGAAAGACTCTCCAATTGGATTGCGACTTTAGATGGATTGGAAAAGTTGAATTTCTGAGGTTTTGAGATAAATGCACTATTCACACTGAGCCGTACCCCGCTGCGTTTTTTGTTCCTCCATGCCGTGGCTAGGTGTTGGAATCCTGTAACTCACACTTTTAGCTTTGGGGGTCAAGAGATATGCCCTACCTTTGAAGAATTCCAAGCTTTGATAGAATCCTGGCGCGACGAGGAAATCTTGCCCCAGTTCCGTTTCGGCCACATCCAAGCTTTAGGATAGATGTGCGGGCTTACTTTGCATGACGCTCAGTCTCTGATTCGTGACGGTGAGTTGGATATTCCCAGCTTGATTCATCGGTTTTTTGATGCCGGTAACCGCGACGATCATCTTTGGCAAAGTTTTCGGAGACATGCCTTTTGCTTATGCATGTTGTCTTATTTTCTACATGCCCTTGGCTTCGGAGGGTCTAGTATTCGCTCGATTGAAATTGCCCAAAGCTTGAAAGAGGGCAAGAGCTGCATTGGCATGACGTTAGCCGAGACTCTGATGGGTTTGGATGCTTTCTCACATCACTTGGCCCTCGGGAGACAACCAGGTTCGCAGGAAGTCCACTACTCTTACAGGTAATGTTTCCTACCGTTCTCATATGCGTATTTCTCACATCACTTGGCCCTCAGGCTTTGTTTTTCTCTCAAAACCCTTTCACTTTTCTCTCCACGTACACCTCTCTATTCTTTAATCTCTCTTATTTTTCATCCCTCCCTAGATATGGCTTATGGATAAATTGAAAGTAGTGGACTCTTGCCCAACATATTCAGCACGCGGCTATTTCTTTCACTAACGGCTAGTTGATGCCCTAGATGAGGGGTGGTGGTGCGAATGGATGTGCACTCGATCTGCTGTTGACATCGCTTGGCGTTGCCCCTGGTTTGATCTACTTGAGATGGGCTACAGCATGTCCCGGAAGCCTGGCATTTAGTTGATGGGCTTGACGCACTGCGTCTTTTACTTCCCATTCCAGTTCCGACGTCAGTATGGACACGACCAGACTTGCCCAGAAGAGGGAGTGGAATACCCGTCTTCATATCCGATTAAAGGCTCACATCTAGCGTAATATACCACCGCATGGAGGACAAGAAAGCTTCTAGCCTCTGCTCCCACTTTTAGTTGTGCCCTTTCTGGCGAGTGCATCTCTTGGCTTGAAGATGAAATGCAGACTGGGCCTACTTTGGCATCAAAAGCTTCCACAAGATCTTGGAGGGGGCGCAGGAACACCTGACTTGACTATGCCCCTAGTTTATTGCTTTAATCTATACTTTCAAGTTTTCTATTGAATGTAATAAAAAGCAACTTCAATTTGTATCGAAAATCGGAGAACTCTGTATTGAAATCAATGAAATTGAAGGTTGTGGGCAATGAAAATTTTCTGTTTGGTTCAAAAATGGTCTAAGTTGTAAAAAGATTAATTTGAACAAAGTCAACTTTTATTAAAACTTTTCAAAACCATTTTCGATATGGATCACAACTGGACACGCCCGAGATCTATCACTGCGACGTACAACCCTGGATCCAACAACTGGAAAGTTGCCCCTTGTCTAAATAGCACTGCACTGGAGATCACAACCAAACTCTTAAATGCGAAATAAACAAAGATGGCTAGAACAATCACATGGACAAAGTTGATTTGGAAGTGTTTATGGCTGGACTTCAGAATGAAGTTGCCTACGTATCCCAAAGATGGGAATCAAGCCTTATGTAGTTCGGTTCAGGTTCACTCAAGTTTTAACACTCTCCTTTTGCGCTCTAACTTTTGCCAAGGCCGCCGTTTCTGGGTTTTCAATCTTGCGAGCTCAGTTTTTCGTATTTCAATTTTTTCATGCTCTAACTTTTGCCTAGGTCGCCGTTTCGGGTTTTCGGCCTAGCGAGCTACTCAGGGATAGTATTTCTTCAACTTGTCCATGTTGATCGGTTGGGAGAACTCTAGGCCTTCTAAGTCCATAAGAACGACAGCTCCACCTGATCAGATAGACTTGATGATGTAAGGGCCAGTCCAATTAGGTTTGAACTTGCCCTTAGGGTCGTGAATGGGAGCTCGGTTGTCTTTGAGCACCAAATCCTCTTCTTTCAAATTCCTGGACTTAACATTCTTGTTGAAAGCCCTGGCAATTCGTCGTTGATAGCCTTGGACGTGATACAGTGCTTTCAGCCTTCTCTCGTCGAATAGCATAAGTTCTTTGAATCTGCTCTGCTGCCAATCTGCCTCAGCTATCTGGCACTCAGCCATTACTCGTAACGATGGAACCTCAATTTCGATAGGTAGAATAACCTCCATCCTGTAAACCAAGGAATATGGAGTTGCCCCAGTAGAAGTTCGAATTGATGTCCGGTAGGCCATGTAGGTTTCCACCATCTTCTGTAGTATGTGCTTGATGTTCTTGCTAGCGGCCTCAACAGCTCCGTTAGTTTGCGGCCGATATGTAGATGACTTATGAAAAGCCACATTGTACTTCTCTAACAAGTCGATCATCTCCTTTTTGAAGTTGGATTCATTGTCTGAAATAATCTCATTCGGGACCCCATAGCAACAGATAATGTTGTTCCTGATGAACTTGGCGACATGCGATGCCTTCAGCACTGCGTAAGATTGGGCCTCGACCCACTTTGTAAAGTAGTCTATCGCCACCAAGATATACTCATACCTGTTCGACCCCTTCTGAGTAACTACCCCAATCACATCAATCCCCCAAACTGAAAATGGCCATGGTGAAGTCATATTGTACAGCTTTGACGGTGGAATGTTCATGCGATTTGCATGGATCTGGCATTTGTGGCATCGCCAAACAAAGCCAATACAATCCTCCTCCATGGTTGACCAGTAGTAACCCTAT